CTGCCAACGTCTCATTTTCCTCTCATCACGCTGCTCAGAGGTTCTGCACAAGTTCCACTAACGTTGCACATACAGAAGTCCAAACACGTTATAATAAGCTTGTACACGTTATGTTTAAGGTAGGGATAATTTACTCATAGGTTTTATATCTGTTCAAGTCGTATGATCACGTCCCAATGAAGGTGTTAACTGATGGTAAATGGTAAATGGTAAATGGTATGGAACTTATAGAGCACTTTTCAAGTCCCCAAAGCGCTTTACACAAACAGGCATTCACGCATTCACACTCACATTCACACACTGAAGATGGCAAACTACAGTGATGCTTTTTTTCTCGTCCTCAGCGTGTGCCAGCGTGTTGGAAAAAAATGCATAAGTTGTCCAAAACGTCATAGTGTAACAGGACCTTTAGGTGTCCATGAGGCATCCTGTACCACCTCAACTGGCTCTTCTCAATGTTATCAGTATGAATCATCAAAATATTCAGTTTTTCAGAAACAGGCTCAAAGTCCTGAAATGTTATGAAGGCCCCAGATCAGAGGCTTTTGTTCAGTGTTTTACAGAAGAACGAGTTAAAAATACATAAATAAATAAAAAGCAGGATGAGAAAATGTTTTCCAAAAATATAAAAATCTAATTAGATCAACTAAAAATGACAAGTTTTTATTGCTGGTGATCTGAATTTATGCCACATTTGTACTAAGAGTCTTTTGTTTTATAAACTGCTATAAACTTTATTAGCTCGTCAAACTGAGCTCGGGACAAAATTAGTGCTGAAAGCGAGCCTCGTCAGCACACAGCTCCTGCAGTGGTGAAACTCAAACTCAGAATGACCTGGTGAATTAATTATGAATTAATTATCTGGTGAGCACAGCATTCTCTTGCTCTCAGTAAATAAAGCCAAGTCCCTTTCTTAATATCAGTTTACATAAACAAGTTCTATAGAGACCAAAACTGTATTGTTTACAACGTTGTGGACTGGAACATGGGAAAAATCAAATGTGAAGTTATATGTTAGATCAGGGGTCTGCAACCTTTACAATCAAAAGAGCCATTTCTGCTACTCGACGCACTAAAAAAATGTGTCAAGAGCTGCAAAACAAGTTACAACAGTGATTATCAACTGGTGGTCCGTGGGCCTTTTTGAGGCCTTTTCAGGAACCTTTCTGGCCAGTGGAGGTGACATTATAAAACAAATAAATATAATGTGATTTTTATTATTTTTATTCTTTTTACCAATCAGGACAAACAAAAAATCTATATTCATGTAAATAAGAAAATACAGTGTATAGTTTATATCAGATTTCAAAAAAACTATTACATCTGAACTATTCAGGCAAGTTTTTTTCTAATTCTTATTATTGTGTAGTCTTTAAATTCTTTAAAGGTAATTCTGATGGATTTGAGAGAAAGATCATAGAAAGAAGTTGGATTATTTAAGCAAACAACAGGCTAGCATGAGCTAATCAACATGTTTTACTTTTTGTATTAGTAGTATTTATCACATATTTGTATACAAATTGATTTCTGTTGTGGGTATAAAAACAAAAAAAAATTGTTATGTTTGGCCACATGTGGCCCCAGAGCTGCAGGTTGCTGACCCCTGGGTTAGGTGGATATGAAAAGCACACTATGAACATTTGAACAGGTTTTTAGGACAAATGGAAGCACATGAAATCAAGGAAATTTTGTACTCTGTAATCTGTTTTTTGTATTGTTTTGTCCCTTGTCTGTAACTGGTTTGTCAGAACTGTTTTTAAATGCTGCATTATGTGATCAGGAACATGTGAAACACAAAAGAGAAAAACCCAAAGATTTACACTAGTGTTTTCATCCAATTCTAATTAGAATTTTGAGCGAACTTTTAAAATGTCGCAAAAAGGAAAAAAAAGAAGAAATGCGAATCAGATGTGTTTCCATCAACTGGCTTGGAATGAATCAACCAGGCTACACAAAGTAATTATGTCAGACATTGAGGTAATTGGCTATGCATAGCAGTAGTAAACAGGAAGTAGAAGTCACAAACTCACAGGGATGCACATCACATCTCATACTAAGAATGGTTATTGTCTTATGATGAATCACCATTCTCTCCAGAAAGTCTCACCTGTTTGTTCAGGGATGTGTTTCTCACCTGTGTCTGGTGCACTTGAACCAGTTGAGGATGTCAGTACAGCTGGTGTAATAAATCTGATCATATGGATGGGCGTACGACTCCTGCACGGTGACTGAATAACTGAAATCCAAGAAGAGAGACAGAGAAGATACACATTACACACCAGGAGATAATCAGCTCTTTTTGTGGTTCAGTTCATCTGCCCTACAGCCCAGGAGGACCAACTGTACCATGTGTGAGCCTAAGTTTATCGATGAGGTTTTCAAACTTGAATAAGTGTGTCAAAAAGGCTTTGGTTGGGGGCAAAAAGAAAAAAAACAACACCCCATGACTGTCTCATGTACTAACCTCAAACACTTTTAGCTTAGTCATTTACAGGAATGATAAAAATAGAATTTCTTTCATGAGTAAAGTGCTGGTACTTGTATATTAAGAGAAGCATAATGATAAGAATACATTAATAACACAGCATGATGATGATCATCATCAACAACAACAACAACAACAACAATAACAACAACATCAATAGAAATTGTGTATACATTTGCAGAGAATAGATTTAACCCTCAGACTGTGTGATTAAAAATCATAAAAAACTTGTACATGCCACACTGTGTAAGCTCAAAATGATAAAATCTTGATAGGTAACATTTTATGTTAATATTAGATGTTAGATTACATACATTTCATGTAATTATATTTTATTATGTATACTTAGAACAAAAAGTATGGAAATTTGTATTCGGTAGACTATTTATTTTATTTTATTTTATTTTATTTTATTTTATGTTTTTGCTTCTTGGCAATAAGTCTTGAAAGCCTGTTATTTCCCTTTTAAATGGTGCTACATTTGTAAGGAACATGCATTTGTGGAATGAGCAGTAGAGCTGAGTATGTGGGC